AATTAGAATATATATGTATTACTATGAAATTAGGTAAAGTGTTTACCGTCTGTCATAACACTGTAGCGCTGCGGCAAGGCAGCGCTGGGAAAGAAAGGAATGAGGCAGGAAAGACCAAAGATCTGAAGCTGAGCATAGAGAGCTCTCTCTCCAGTGTACCAAAGAGAACTACAGAAATTTCCAAAGGGAGTGTGTAGCATGTGCCCACCCACTGCCTGCCTGACTCCAATCAGTAAAGCATCCCAGTAGCGTACGCCTAAGAGTTACTGGGAGTTGTTTTCCGTCGTCTTACCTTGAAGGTTTTGTCCATGGAAGCAGAGAGAAGCATGTGGCTCTTACAAAAGACTGGACACCACTGAATGCTGTTAACTGGGCCCCTGTGGCCTCGCAGGTGGAAAAGCACTTTCTTGGGGACTGTAGTCTCTCTGAACTGACTGTTCAAGTATGGCTGGATGAACTCAGACACTGTGGGAGCCACGCAGCGTGGGGCCGGGGCACACCCTGCAGGGGATCCCAGGGGCTCTACATCTTTGTCCCCACCTGCTTCTAGACTCAGTGCTTGCAGCTGCCTCAGTCTCTTGGGGATATAGGGAAGTACACAGTCCTCACCCCTTTTCCTCTGAGAAGAGCTGGAATTTGCAGCGGTGCTTTCAGACTTGCTTTGATCATCAGAAGAAGGTCTGAGGGCATCCCAGGCAGGTTTTAGTGGCTTAAGGCAGGCAGCTGCTAGGGGCACATGGCCAACTGGAGCTCTGGTCATCCATAGAGAAGAACGAGGAGGCTCACTGGTGGAGAAGGTGGTATCAGGTTCCTTTGAGGGCCACTGTAGCCTCTGACTGGGACAAGACCCCGGGTCACTTCTCCAGAGCCGAGCCAGCGGCAGACGTCGCTTCCCTGGGTATTCATCAGGAGCGTCCCCTGAGTGCTGTGTCCCCTCTCTGGTCATGCCCACTGGGCTAGATGCAAACCCCATCCCAGAAGGTCTGCTCACACCAGAGGCGTCGTCACTCATCTGACCTGCAGTATCCCCACTTCTGGCAGGGTCAGCCTCGGACTCCGAGTCAGAGTCATCATATGCCACCAGTGAGGCCATACAGTCACACAAAGGGGACTTCCTAGAAGTAAACAAGATCAAGAGTCAGCAAATATGAATACGTGAAAATTTCTGCATTTCAGAGCAGGATGTCCCCTTGAAAGTCGAAAGACATCAAAGTCCACAAACACATAGAGAATAAAAAATGGATTTCAGATATTTCAACATAAAGAAATTATGTTTGGTGCAGGAGATGTAGCTCAGTGATTAACAGTATACACTGCTCCTCCAGAGGATCCAAAGTCAGTCCCCTGGCCTACCTCAGGCAACTCACAACCCCAGGTAGTCCTAGCTCCTGAGGAGCCAAGACCCTGTTCTGTCCTCCAGACGACCTTCACTCATACGGACATGCCCAGACACCAACAACATGTGCATGCACATAACTAAAAATAGAAAACATACCTTGTTAAAAAGGGAAAACTAAAAAGTATGTGCTGTTTGGGCCAGCAAGATGATTCAGTGGATTAAAGGTGCTTATCATCAAGCTTAAGTTTCATCCCTGGAACCTACATGGTGGAAAGAGAAAACCAACTCATGAAAACTGTCCCCAGACCTCAACATGTGTGCCTTGACATGCATACCATCACCCAGTCATACATACAAATAAAAGTATAAAAAAAAAAAAAAAAGGAAATGATATTCGGCGAGATACATACGATAACCCTGATTTAAACATTACATAATATATAAAAACCCAAGCAATAGTAAAAAATAAATGGATTTCCTATTAAGTAGACATAATTAGTTACGTGTGTGTGCGTGTGTGTGTGTGTGTGTTGAGACAGTGTTTCTCTGAATAGACCTGGCTGTCTTAGAACTTACTATGTAGGGCAGGATGACCTCAAACTCATCAAGATCCATCTGCCTCTGCCTCATGAGTGCTGGGATCAAAGACATGGGCCGCCACTACCTGGCTTTACACATAAGTTTTTCAATGGAAACCTCTGTAGTGCTGGGGCTAAAGCTTGCTGACAGAACTCTTGCTAACACATGCAAGGGTCTGGGTTTGCCCCTCAGCACTGCAAAGCAGAAGAGAAGAAGAAAGAGAAGGTAGAAAAAAAATCAAGAGGACAACAACAACGAGCTAGGTATGGTAGTACGCGTGAAGCTGAGGCAGGAGGATTATGATTTTGAGGCCACCCTGGGATACACAGCAAGACCCTGTCTTTAAAAATAAACAACTTCAGCCTGGTGGTGGTGGTGTACATCTATAATCCCAGCACTCAGGAGGCAGAGGCAGGTGTATCTCTGAGTTCAAGGCCAGTCTGATCTGCAGAGTGAGTTCCAGGACAACTAGGACTACACAGAGAAACTATCTTGAAAAAAAAATTAAAACAAAACAAAAACACAACAACAGAGCATCCACCTGGCATGCACAAAGCCCAGGGTCGGGTCCTAAGGCCCCGGTCTACCCAACTGTGCAAGAGCAGTTCTAACCATGGCATCCAAGTTTGTTTGTTTCACTCCAAACGCATAGGTTCACGCAGTACTGAATTAACTTTTAAAATTTTTTCCTGGAATTCTGAGCATTCACAAACTTCAATCAGCTAGTTCTAGGTAAGAAGTGCTTTGGTCTAGAACTCAGTATTTTAATTCGGTGACAAGAACAGCACAGTAAGGACAGACAGGAAGAAAATAAGGGTGCTAAGCACATCACAGCCAGCAGAGGGCAGAGTGGGACAGTATGCAAGCCTGGGCCATGAACCAGCTAGCCCTGCTTCTTTTTCTTCCTTTTTTTTTTTTTTATACTTGTGTGTTTGCTGTGTGAGTGCCTGTGGGGATGTGCAAATCTGTGCTCCTACATACAAGGAGGCCAGAATATGAAACCCTGTGCCATTTACCCTGTGCCGTTTTGCTTTCCGTCTATTGGAAGTGTGGTCTCTCTGTCTCTGACCTCATAAGGGCCGGGTTACAAGAAAGTGTGTAATGGCTTGTTACATGGGTGCTGGGATCTGAACTTTGGTTTTCATTATTTCTTTTCTTTTTTTTTTTTTTTTGGTTTTTTGAGACAGGGTTTCTCTGTGTAGCCCTGGCTGTCCTGGAACTCACTCTGTAGATCAGCCTGGCCTCGAACTCAGAAATCTGCCTGCCTCTGCCTCCCAAGTGCTGGGATTAAAGCCGTGCGCCACCACCGCCCGGGGGTTTTCATAATTTCAAAGCAGGTGCCTTTAGCAGATGAGCCTCTCTAGCCCCATTCTGTCCAGACAAGAACTCACTATGTAAGCCAAGCTGGGCTTAGTCCACGGTCTTCCTACCTCAGTCTTCCGAGTGCTGGGATTGCAAGTATATACCACAAGTCCAAGTCACACACTGGACTTCAACATCCCACTCAAAGCCTATCCCCTAATGGCACTATTCACCTAAGAACCCTATTGCCATACAAGTCCACTCATCATCCAAGGCCTGTAGTCATCATTCCCACCAACAACTGAATCCAGGCGGGTAACAATGTCCGCACTTAGAGTCATCTTCTAAAAAGAACTTCTAAAACCAGCTCCAACCAAAGTAAGATCCCACTGGCAACTAACTACACACAGATCGAGCCACTCTCTGTAAATAATGTGATCTCTACATATTCAGCAGGGATCTGAGGCCAATCTCCTGGTCCCTCAAATGGAACCCGTCGGATTCCCACCACCACACTATTATATAGAGCTCAGTCACAGCCTGGATTTTCAGCTATGTGGTTATCTGCAGGGTAGACTCACAAAAGAGGCCTGTAGCAGATCTGTGGACAGCGCGGCCCATCAGGGCATAGAAAATGAATGACAGCAAGAGACTGTATCACACATAGATTTCATTCACTCACTCAACATCTGCCACAGGAGACAAAACTGTAAATGATGCCCTTCATTCGGCACACTCACGAGCCTTAGGAAGACAAACACATCCCCCACTCCACTTGTGAGCCAGAAGATGTCACGGACATGTGAACTCAAAAGGAAAAGGGTATGGGGCAGCGGGGCCCAAGACGACATCTTTTTATGGAGCTCAGACAGGCCTCAGAGATTACACCAGTGTGACACTCTGGAGAGGCTGAGGGAACCAAGGTGATCACAATACTGAGACTAAAACAGAACCAATGCCAACTAAGAGGAGTCAAGGGTGACTCGAGAAAACATGAAGGGAGAAGGCTGAGAGGGACGCACTTAGTTTAAGAAATGATGGCTACTACTTTGTATCCAAGTCTAAAAACTGCCAGGGGAGAAGGGGGTTGTGGTAAACCAAGAGCAAGAGGCTAATGAGGAAAAGAGTACTGAGGACTTTAGAAGAATACTAAAAAGGTTAAAGAGAGCACGGATACGTGGCGCAGGGTGTCCTGTGTGTTTTGTTCACTGTCCAAGAACCCTCAATCTAGTTGTATTTGTAGACTGCAAGCTGATAGGACAGGGAGCTGAGGAAGTTAAGAAAGCCAGAATTTTCCCGTTCAACAGGTACTATGTTAGGCACTATGATGGATCTGATCTGGACAGAAATTAAAGCACTGATCTTGGCCCAGGGCCACGGATACATGATGGGAAACAAACAAACAGACACAGGTTTCGATGGATGAAGAAGTTAGCCAAGTTGTCAGCACTAATGGGTAAAGAGTTCAGAGCACAACACTCTACGGATGAACGGGAAGAAAAGGAAAGCGAGCGGCGAACTGAGCCCAGTGCTAAGAGGCGGGAAGCACGCGGCCGCCAGGTCCCGGCCCCCTCCCGCCCGAGCCCGCCGCTCACCACACACACGGAAGCGCTTGGTACACCCCTACAGCGGTCCGGCCAGCACTCGGGCCGCCCAGTAGTGTTCCACCACGACGCTGGGAACCTCAGCCAATCAGAGATGGGATTTGCCCTGCCCCTGGCTGGACAGCCAATGGCGGCATGCCAGGACCGGAAGTTGTTCCAGCCGGCTGGGGTTTCCAGGGACGCCCAGGAAGTACCGGTGGCTGAACCAGTGGTGCTGACTGGTGGGGCCGAACAGGGGCCGCCGGTAAGTGAGGAGAGGTTGGTCACTGCGCCGGGAGCGAGGGAGGGATGCCGAGGTGGCGCCGGGGCCTTGGGCTGTCGCCGGGGCGCCGAGCTCTGAGCGTCCAGCTTGGAGCCGGACTCTGTTCTCTCGGCACCGGCACCACGAGGGACCGGGAGGCTGCGGCGGCGCCGCCCACCCAGCCTGTCACGGTTTCCCACCTCCTGGGCTTTGCCCCGTAGGATAGCCATCAGTCCCCTCCACGAAGTGTTTGTAAAGCTCCTGGTGCCGGTTTCGTAGATGAGGAATAGCGTAGCAGAGAAGGAACGCTACTTGCCCACGGTTTCATAGCAAGCTTATGCCCAACGTTAAAAGCCGATGCTCCCTGACCTCGGAGTCCCTATCTTTTCGCTGCAGTGCATCACTTCAGAGCAGTACTGCCTCAGGGAATGTACACGGTGATCTGCCCGGCCCATTCGTCCCTACCCTACAGACAATTTGAATGATGCTGTGGGTGTGGGGCTAGGAAAGGGTGAGGAGGTCATACGGAGGTCAACCTGAAGAAAGAGACAGCTGATGCAATGGCAAGTAGCTCAGGGCTCTTGAGAGTTTGATTGGCCCTCAACCTCCTCCTCCCACAGCCCAACTAACTAGCCACTGGCTGGACTTGCTCATGAAGAAAACTGGTCAAGTGGCTAAAATGTTTCTGAGAACCTGAGTGATTTCTAGGAAACCTTGCAATAAGTGAAACTGAAAGGGTGTAGCAGAGCAGGAAAGAAAAACAGTAGACTCTAGAAAAAAAAGAAAGAAAGAAAGAAACTGGAAGAGGAAAAAGGGGAGTATTAAAGACCTCCACCCTGGCTGGACAGTCTCATCTGCTTACCTGTCCAGTGTGATCAGGGCTCTTGGATTCCACAGCTAGGGTACGTATTGCCTTCTTGGCTAGGCTTGCAGCTTGTTTTCGGTTGTCCCAGTGGTTTGGTTTTACCCACCTTATGTGAAAGCGTTGAAGACTTGAGAAGGGCATGTGTCAGGTTTGGGATGTGGTGCATTTATTTCAGATAGTTGACTCAAGTTCAGGTGATGCCCTAGTTGTGAGGAGTAGATGCAGTGGGTGCCCAGTGACCTGTTTGCATTCAGAGCTTGCTCTGCAGCATCTTCAAAGCTCCGGCTGACTTGGCCTCCTTAAGTGGTCAGTGTCTGAATACATTGGCGTTCTCATTGTGACAACTGAGTCTGTAACGTCTGTCTTTGTAAATTAGTATCTTTCTCTTCTAAGGTAGTGTTCATGGGGCTCAGCTTGTAGTTCAATTGTTAAAAGGCTTACTTGGCATGCTCCAGGCTCTGGGTTCCATCCCCAATGCCTTAAATTGGGAAAATAATCTTTCATGAACTAGACCATCATCTATCCCCAAGTTTAGGAGTGGAAAGAACTGCTTGCTCTAAAGGGGTTTTGTCTGTGATCATGTCAGTCTGAAGCTATTGTTATGTACTCTTTGAGACTACAGTCCCAAGGGATCTAGAAAGTTTCCTAGACCACTCTCTTTCCGAGCTGCCCCTAAAATCTTGCTGCCTTCCTCCCTCAGGCTGCAGAGTCTGTGGCTCTTCCCTGTGATGGTTTCCTTATGGTCCAAATCCTTCTCGTTCCGATTTGCTCACACTACAATGTGCCTGTTTCTTTACGAGCCTACTGTGTCATCTAAAACAATGCTATTTCTCCAAATGCGCCATAGATGAAAGGGCCTGCAAAGGGGAATTACAGGCGGAGGAGCCTGTGTAGCTTTCTCATCAGAGGCCTACTGTGGTTGCTCTGGATTAGGGTATTTGACTTTTTACAATCCCAGGACTTTTGTTAGGGGGATAATAGAGAACTTCCTGGTTATAACCTCTTTCTTTTTTCCATATTGTATTAGTAGTTGGATAAATAGCATTTCCTTGATAAAGAGACAGCTTCTCATCTGGAGTTGATGTGGTAAGTCCTTGAGACAGTGGTCTTTAACCTGTTGGCATCTTGGACTCCTTCATAAAGATGGTAAACTTGAGCACTTCTTACACCCTTGTACAGCCAACAAATATGCAAATATTGATATACTCAAGAACTCCTAGCTAGACACCTCTGAAGTTAAGCTTCATTCTAAAGGTTAGCAACCAAAAATAGAGGAAGATGGGGAGAGTTCTTCACTCTTCACACAGTTGAGGTAAGTGTGTAACTGCGTGGAGTAAGGAGGGTGCTAGCTCTATTTTCTTTGCTTCAACCATTCCTAGAATATTCACTCAAGAAACTGCCTTTCGGGGGTTGGGGACTTAGCTCAGTGGCAGAGCACTTGCCTAGCAAGTGCAAGGCCCTGGGTTCAGTCCTCAGCTCTAAAAATCAAAACAAAAAAAAAAAAAGAAATTTTCTTTTACTCTCTTGGTTTTCCTCACTCTCTCCCTCATGCACTTACACATACAAACACACACACACACAAGATTTAAACAGTGGCCATGCATGAGTGACCAGGAAAACAGATTTCATCTGTTTCTGTCTGATTTAGTTTCTATACATCGTCCAAGTCAGACTTCTAATACTTGAAGAGATAGGTGCTCCCCTACAACGTGGATCCTGATTGCAGATCCAGTTTCCTAGCGGATTACATCCGCTCCCCTCCCTGTTACAGTGGAAAGGGACTAGCTGTCCCAAGCTCACTCTCGAGTTCTCCCTGGCACTTGTTCTAGACGTTGAGTGCATATCTGGCCACAGCTGACTGCAGTCTTTGCAGAGCCCCACATTTGTGGAGAAGTAGGGTAAACAAAGGCAAGTCCAGAGGTAACCAGAACAAGACAGATGTTACAGTGGGCAAAGAAATTAGAGGTCTAAGACCTAGAGGAGACCCAAGGCAGTCTTCTGGTTCTTCCCACATCTCAGAGGGTATGGCTCGGTGCCAGAGCATCAAACCAGAGATAGCCTTAGGTCCTGACTGACTCATCCATCAACTAAAGCAAACACTGTTATTTTTATGTTTGCTGGGATGGAGGAGGGTTTTTTTTCGGGGCGGGGGAGGGTGTCACGACAGGGTCTTACTATATAACCCAAGGCTGATATTGAACCCACTAACTCTCTGTAGCCCAGGCTAGCCCAAAGTTTACCAGTCCCTCTGTTCAGCTAGAATTAGAGGTATATACCAACCACCATGCCCAGCTAAAACCTACACTTACAAAGAAGATATAAAAGAACAGCCTAGAGGAAGAGGTTGAGCTTACTGATTTAGGAGAGTCATTCATAGTAGAAACTAGAAATATATGCTGGTTTACACCCTCACTAATTACAATTCTACCAGCTCAATGGCAGAGGAAGTGCTACAACAAAGTAGGACAGGAATGTCCCAGGGTTCCAGGGCTGCAGTGGCTGGGAATGACTGTGAAAAGCTGAGGTAGACTCTGAAAGATAGCAGAGACCAAACAAAGGAGGGGGAGAGATCCTAGACAGGAGGAAGAAGAGCAGGACTCTGAGAGCCTACGACTGAGATGGACTCTGACACCAGAGCCTGACTTCTCTGGATCTGAACGTCAGGCAGATTCTTGTGGCTTTCCTGAGCTAACAGCATGTACAGTTGCAGCTTGCTCTTCCGAGACACTGGGAAATCTGCTTAACCCTTTGTGTCTAGAAGTCATTTCTATTGCATTCATTTCTCTCATCTGATCCAAGCAAACATGCCCATAGAAAATCTGCAGGGACTGGGAGTGTCCTTACTCCCTGGCTTCCCCCTGTCCTCCCCGCTGCTCGGCCATGAGGCCTTGCTCTCCAAGTCAGAGATTCCTTTCTGGGAATCCGGTGAGATGATTCTCAGTGACTGCTGACCCATCCTTGGATATTGGAGTTCATTGACTTGTATGAAAATGGTGGCATTGAACAAATGTAACCAGTGGATAAACACAAACAGATGGCATCTCCACTGTGCATCTGACTGAGAGGCAGGTAGTGAGGGACAGCGGCTGAGACCACCCGAGCTTTTGTCCTCCAGTTGAAAGTTTCCATCCTGCAGGGAAGCTTGTATAACATAGGATGTTGTCAGGGAGGTGGCCCAACAGTATGTGCTGTGAGGGAGGGAAAGGTCCTGTACTGCAGTGGGGAAGCTCATTAAACTCAGAAAGTAAACAACTAACTAGCTTCAGGAAATCCCTGAAATTAACCAGATTCTTTGGGTTCCTCCCTCCCCTCAAGCATACATGAGCAGTAAAGACAGCTGAGAGAGACTCTCAGAGGAACCCAGCTGCCCAGAAAGGGCTCAGATCACCCTAGCTGCCTTCAGGCTCTGTGGTACTGTCCAGGTGACTAGCTTTCATGAGCCATCACCCATGCTGGAGTGGACCTAGGTGATACAGCTGCCTTTGAGTCATCTACCCAGGAAAACTCATTGGTTCAAAATGGGGTAAGGGGCCAGAAGGGCACAGCACTCACTGGCTCACCACTTTGGACTTCGGTGGTATGATTAATTGGGTCTGTTTGCAGAAGTGAGGAGATAGATTCTGGTGAGGGTCAGGTGACTTGATACATAGAGGAACTCAGACCAACGTGCCAGGTCACAGTGCTCAGTTACTGGTCCAGCACAGGCTACGGCTCCTCCTCTAACTCCTCCTTTACTGCTCATGTAAGTCAGGTAAAGCTGAGTTAGGTAGATCCCTAGAGCCCTCACTCTCTAACCCGGGAATAACAAGACTGGAAGTGCACTTGTATCTTGCTTACAGTTGTACTGTGTCCCTGCATCAGTTTTTTCTCGTTTATTTCTGTAACAGCCCTTGAGGTAAGTTTAAAAGTTCCAAGAGTTACCATTTTATCAATAAGAAAGTGACTGTCCCAGCAGGACTCCAGGTGGCCCGGTCCCCACCCTTTCCAGTGTCAATAGTGATAGTGACTGACAGAAGGTGCAGACACACTTTCCCAGCTTCCGAAAGGCAGCTCACAGGATGACGAGGTGCATGGTCTGCGTGCTCTAGAACTCAAAACAGGAGGACCTTGTCCACCTGGACTTGCTATGAGAGGACAACATTTGGCCAACTAGAGAGAGGCCATGTGGTATTGTGTGTTCTTTATGACTGCAAAAGCCTGAGAGTTTGTTCCCAAGGCACTGAAAATAAAGAACAAATAAGACTTCGCAAAGTGTCTGTTGGTCTAGTGAATGTAGCCTTACTAAAGTGTGTTTGTATTCCAAGCAAACATGAGTTCCTCTCTTCTGGGCACTAGATGGGAAGAAACATCACCCTGTGCCAACTTACTGTTTACAAGAATGCACTCCTGTGCTGGCCTCAAGTTAGTACTTCCCACTAACGCCTTTAGCTCTCGTTGCCAGCGCTGATGCTGCGTTATCATGATCCCCAGATTTCCCTTCTCTTTCCCACTTAATGTTGTGTTGCCTGTTCTCTGTTACAGCTCAGGTACCATGCTTTTCTGAAAGAAAGGCTGAGTGCCATAAAGAAAGCAGAGCTGTAGAAGAGTGCTCATGGCTCCCACCCTCATCTCCTGTCTCATCTTCTCCACAGAGTCTGTCTCAACTGCTGAACACACGTCACCAGCCAGCTGCAGGCCTAGGTCCTAGAAGATGGCAGACATGCCCAGTGGCGAGCCCTGCACCTCTCCACTGGAGCTCTTCAACAGCATAGCCACGCAAGGGGAGCTTGTCCGGTCCCTCAAAGCTGGAAACGCACCAAAAGTAGGTGACTTGTCGGGCTCCCCAAAACACACGCCTGAGCCTCCACTCCTGCACAGCTGTCTTGGTCTAGTCTGCTAAGTTCAGTGCCATTCCTGTCCCTGTGCTTCAGAGGCCTTTGTACAGTAGGGAGCTGCTCCCAGATCCTCGAAGGTGCCAGATCCATGGGTGCCCAAGTCCCTCACATGCAGTAGTCTAGGATTCACGTGTGATCTGCCCTATACTTTATGCCATCTTAGTATTGTGTATTTTCTATGTAAACAGTTTGATGCCCTGGGTTTTTTGTTTGGTTACTTTGTTGGTTAGTTGGTTTGGGGTTTTTTGTTGTTGTTTTTGTTTTTTGGCTGGTTGGTTGGTTGGTTGGTTGGTTAGTTGGTTTGGGTTTTTTGTTGTTTTTGTTTTTTGGTTGGTTGGTTTGGGTTTTTTTGTTTGTTTGGTTGGTTGGTTAGTTGGTTTGGGTTTTTTGTTGTTGTTTTTGTTTTCTGGTTGGTTGGTTGGCTGGCTGGGTTTGGGTTTGTCTTGTTTTTGTTGCTATACTATATCTGTAGAGGATATAGTAGTTGACTTTTTTGTCTGTTGCTATGACAAAATGCAGGACAAAAGCAACTCAAGGAAGAGAGTGTGTTTGGCTCACAGTTTAAGGTTAGTTCTTCATGACAGGGAGAGCACAGAGACAGGACTGGGAGGCAGCGGGTCACATGGGGTCACTGTTAGGAGCTGGAGATGAATGTGCATGCCCGGCTCTCTCCATGGAATGATGCCACCTGCATTTAGGGTGTGTCTTCCCACCTTAGTTGACAGTGAGTAAAGTGACGAGATGGCATGTGTCCATCCTCAGTGCAGATGAAGAACCTCTTTGTGTTTAGTGGCTCCTGTCCTGTGTTAGTTGACCCAAAGGATACAGAACCCAGAGCTACAGACCCCAACTGCCCTAGTGTCTTCCAGCCTCTTCTCCTCAGCTCTGATCATGCAGACGCTTTCTTTCAGCTCTTACTGTTGTGCTTCAGCTCTTAAGGTTTGTACTTGGGCATGCCTACTATGTCCCTCCTTTCTCTGTTTCAAGTCGGGGCTTTGGCAGAGGCCGTGAGGGATTCCTGCTTTCATGCACACTTCCCCTCCTCCAGCTGCCGCGATATGTCACAGTTCTAGTCAGGGCATTATTAGTACAGACATTATTACACTATGTCAACACATAGACAGCTGAACCATCAACTAAAGCATGAGCCCTTTTCCTTCCCTTCCCACCTTCTGTTTTCTCTGGGGTTAATGTTTGCCTTAATTTCTGTTTGCCTGGCCTTTTCCGTATTCTTCATAATGCCGACAGGCACCACATTAACACAAAGACACCAAGGTCTGATAGGTTGGGAACACAGTCAACCTTGTGTTTGTGGTTAAGTTACTTTTGTATAGTTTGAGCTTTTGTTTCCTGTTGGGTGGGAGATGTTTGTTTCATTTTGGACAGTGGAACACTGCCATGCTAAGGTAGCTTTCTGCCACTGTCCTGGCTACTTTTCTCATTTCTGTCCAGATAGCTGACCCAAAACACCAGCTTCAGAAAGGAAGAGTTTCTTTTATCTCACAGTTTGAGGGTCTATTCCCTCATGGTGTCAGATACATCTGTATGATACCCCAACCCGAGGGATGGTATTACCCACATTCTAAGTGGATTGTCCCTCACCTGACAAACCACTGTGAAAACATCTTGACAGACACAACCGTCAGTGTCACCTGGGTGATTCCAAATCCAATCAAGGTGACAATAAGAGTTAACTATCACAGCCTCAAGACCAGGTATCCATTCCTGGTATGTGTATACAGTATACTTTTTATCATTAAAATTCTATCCCCACTTACTAAATAATAGCAAGATCTGTGCCGTAAGATCTGTACCTTGACAGAAGCCCCCTATACCTCATGTTTATCCAGTCTCTTGACTGCATCAAAGCTCACATCAGTCAAGTAGTGGGCCTGTCCCATCTAGATTAGTGCGCTGTTGCTGTTGCTGCCGAGTGACACATTCCTCAGACTCTGTACCCACCACTAAGCAGTGTAGGCTATCACGGCTCTTCTCTGGCTGTTGAATCTCAACACACGGCAGCTACTATGCAAAGATAACTTCTTGAGCACTCTTGTAGGACCTCTGCCAATTTACCTTCCCTAAGGTTTGATTGACAGCTAAGCTGGGTGTGGAGTTCTGAGATGGAGGCAGCTTTCCCTTAGAATTCTGTTGTTTTATTTTGTCTGTCATGGAATCTCAATGTAGCCCAGCCTGGCCTCAGCCTGCTATAGGCAAGGATACCTGTGAACTTCTGATCTTCCTGCCTCTGCCTCCTGGTTGTTACACTAGAGTGATGGGAAGCCACACTCCACTTCCCTTGGAATGCAGTCCCTGTGGCTCAGTCACCATTGTCTGTCAGTGCATTTCGTAGTCCTCACTAGGGACATTGGAGTCCTTTCTTTTCTAGAGCTCTGACATTCCAGGGATAGGACCAATACTCCTTGCAAACTTTAATTCTCAGAAGTTACACTGTTCCCTTGATCTGTTTGGTACTCTATCTTCTGTTTTTCGGTCAGAAACCTCTCTCCTGGCTTTCGTATTTCTTGCTGCTACTTTCCACTTCTTTCTGTTCTTTGAGGACTGTCTCTTCACCCTAACCCCCTGCTGTCCTCCGTTTCTCCTGTCATAAACTCCCAAGTGTCCCTGTGGCCATGCCCCTTAGCTCCCTGAGCTGGTGATGCTGGTGCTCCTGGTGCCCTCTGCCCTTCCTGCCCCGAGTCTCCAGGTGAGTTTCTTCCTCCTTCTCTTTTCCCCTCACAGGCATCGCAGATGTGTGCTATAGCTTGCCGTCTGCTCAAGCTCTTGGAGACAACTGTCAGCTGTCCACATTGTGAGGAGATCTTAGCCATGCACAACCCCTTTCCTAGATAGCCGTGGGACTTGTTTTGGTTGAGGAATCTTTGTGTTCAGAGTATTAACTTCCTTTCTTGGAAATCATATTCTCTGTGATCGGCTATCTAGGGAGTGAGTGGCTGGGCTTTATATACTTCCCACTGTTTATGTATAGCAGTCTCTGGTCTACGTACCACTCTCTTCTTCCCAGGGAAACTTTTGGATGGAATGGGGCCCCAGACATGAACTGAACTGTTTCCTGAACAGATCTGGCTGGCTTTCCTGTTATTGCCTGTATGTTATTACTCCATCCCTGATGCCTGGGTCTCTGGTAGTCCGTGGTGTCAAGTGGGCTCACTGCCTTCCCAACCAGCTCTTCTCAGCTTTTCTTTTTCTCATGACTCTCAGTCTGTCAGTTGCCCCTGAACTTCCCACCTTCTGGTTCCTGTAGCTGCCGTCCTGCTCCTGTTTTTTTTGTCTTCTGGGATTGTCCTTTTAAGGAGCTTGCTAATAGTGGGTCTTAGGAGCTGTCAGTCTGCATCTTTAATGGCAGCAAAGGCACTTCATGCTTGTTTGCTGCTTCCACTCGTACGTCTCTATGCCTCCTCCTCTGCCTTCCATCTAGCAGTCTTCTCAGAAGTCTGTTTTGTTACCAGATGGTGCTGCCCACCTCACATTCAGCCCAGGAGCTTTCATTGGTCGTTAATCTGAGCAAACTATTACTTCTTAAAGGAAATAAGTGGTGTAGAGAGAAAGTCATGTCCAAATACCTGACTATCCAGAACTCACCATGTGGGCTCAGTGAATTGGACTAAATGGTTTTCAGACAAAACCTAAGATAAATAAAAGACCCAAGAATCGATCATTTCTCTGTAAGCCTACTTTGGAGGCTAACAGTGGCATTTCTATCAGTTTAACATTAAATTTGAATAACACTGTAATGTTTTTAATTAGTACTCCCTTTTTTTTCCATCCTCATTCTGAGACAGGGTCTCACTGCCCCTGGCAGGTCTAGAACACACAGAGACTCACCTGCCTCTGTCTCCCGATACCATTAGAACACTGGCTTTTAAGTTGAGTCTCTGTGTCCTGGCCCACCCTACACTGAGATAGGAAACAGGTCAGGCAGGTCTGTTCATTGCTTCTTTTCTGGGCTACAGAAGTTCCCTGAGCAGAGACGAGGTTAACTGTTTCCTCCTTTCAGAATCCGATCAGATAGAGTAGAAATTGTCAACAGTCAGTGATGAAAAGATTCCACTTGCTATGTATTTCAGAGCAAGGCAAGTCTGCTCACAGATAATTCTGCAGATGAAACTTGTTAAACATTTATTTTCTTTCCAGTGCTGAGCCTAGGACTGCTGAGACAGCAGAGCAGCTGTCCAGTGAAGGCATCTTCTCTCTTGTGTGAGCTATAGACATGGAGTTATTGATTGCATGAGGTAAAGTCATTTTGATAACAAATTCTAGATACTTTTATTTTTGAAGCACTGTTAACTACAGAATCCTAGCTCCCCTTAGCTGGGGTATTGTACCAGTGAACAACTCTCTAAATGAGGTTAGAGTTAATGGTAGTTCTTCCCCAGGAAGCCCAGTGTGTAGTACATACTGCTATAAGTATAAACTGCGTTAATATGTGTGTTTCCCTAGGCAAGCAAATTAGACTGTGTCGTCTCAGTGGTCTAATACAGCTATGGCAATTACCAGCTTGAGCTTGAGGCCACAGCAGGATTTGATCGCCTTAATTAGGCCTGTTCTTTGATGTTTCTGGGGTGGCCACTGTGAGCACCTAGAAAAGAGGGGTCTTCAGTAAGTTTCCAAAGTGCCCAGGAATACAGCTTACAATTGCTTCTGCTACTACTGTTTCCTTTTCTCTTTTTATTTCTTTTTCAAAAAATAAAGTCTTGTGTACCCAGACTGGCCTCCAACTTTGGATATAGCCCGGAATGACCTAGAACTCCTGATCCTCCTGCCTACACCTCCCAACTGCTGGGGTTGCAGGAGTCATAAGCATGGAGACACTAGAAATAGCCTGGTAACTAGCTAGAAAGATGGCTCAGCAGTTAGGAGCCTTTGCTTCTCAACAGAGGAACTAACTGGGTTTGGTTCTCAGCCCCCAATGGCAACTCACTCCAATACTAGGAGACCTAGTGGCCTCTATTGGCCTCCACAGGCACATATGGCACATATATACATACATACATACATACATACATACATACATACATACACACACACTCATACACATCAAATAAAAATACATCTTAAAAAGCAATAGCTTCATTAGACTCCATCATCCAGTGATGCCCCGTCTCTGAGCGTCTCTCGGTGTACACGTTCCCTTGATGAGACTCTGTCATCCAGTGGTGTCCCTGTCTCTGAGTGTCCCTCGGTGTATGCTTCCTCTGACCTTCACCTGCTTTCATGACATGTCTTTGAGTTGCCATCACGACTCCTCTGGCCTCTTTGGTTGTGTCTGTAACTTTTCATCCTCACCTGTGCAGAATGTACCATGGTGCAAGATGCACTCTGAGCTCCATTAAAGAAGCTGTCACACGCACACCTTGTCTTAAACAATAGTGCATTCCGTGGCACAGCTACTGCCCTATGTGGTTCTGTTCATGATCTGTAGCACTAGAGTATCAAACAAATGTTAAATATACCGGAGCCCAGTTTTCTGCCTGTTCAGGACGACTCCCTGGCTCTCAGACTCCTCAGCAAGCACTTGTCAAGATTGTAGAACTACACACGGTGACAGCAGGTGTGTGAACGTCCTGCCACAGTGCCTGCCACCTGACTAACCAGCAAACCTTCTGCAGACCTTGGCCTTTGAGCATTTGAGCATTCACCTTGTTTTCCCTTTAGGATGAGATTGACTCTGCAGTAAAGATGTTGTTATCATTAAAAATGAACTATAAGGCCACCATGGGGGAAGAATACAAAGCTGGCTGCCCTCCTGGAAATCCAACTGCTGGGAGTAATAGTGACCCAGATGCCACAAAAGCCAGCGAGGATATTTTGGATCCGTGGACAGTGCGGACAAGCAGTGCAAAAGGCGTCGACTATGACAAGCTCATTGGTGAGTCGTCTGCTGCCTCCCTCGCAGCCCCTCAGTGTCTAGTCGTGGCTGCGGTGCCCTCCTCATTGGCATGTCTAAGTATGTGTGCTCTTGCAAACTTGTGTGCATTTTTAATTGGCACAGGAATTGTGAATGGTTTTAGGACAGGATGATTATCCATCTATGCGTACCCTGGATAATGACCACATCAGGATATTTAACGTATCTATCACCAACAGTGGTTCTATTTCAAGTTCTCTCTGGTAGCTGTTGTGAAATACACAATACATTATTGTTGATGGCATCCGTTGCACTGTTGGTGACCCATCAGAATCCACTAATCTCACCGTGACAGCCTTTCCCCATTCCCTCTCCCTGCCTTGTACTCTCCCTTAGGTCCCACATAGGATGAGGTCCTCTAGTATTTGATCTTCTATAACTGCTGATCTGGTTTGTCCTTGGGGGTTCACTCTATTGTTGTAGATAACAGAATTCTACTTCCATTCATAGTTAAGTTGTACTGTGTGGTGTGTGTGTGTGTGTGTGTGTGTGTGTGTCTGTATACACCTCACATTTTCTTTGTTCAGAGACACATAGGTAGAGTCCCCCTTGTGAATAGTGCTGCCATCAATAGAAATTAAGATATTTCTTTAAACATACTAATTTCAGCATCATATATATATGATATTTTTAAATTTTGAGTGATTTCTAAGTAAAAGGGTTCAATATGAAGAAACAAATAGATCCTGGGTTGTATGTTGTAGTCCCAAAGGACTATTTTAAAATTAGATAACAATAAGCCAAACATGGCGGCTCGTACCTGTTGTCTTGAGATTAGGAGTGGAGGCAAGAGGGTCAGAAGTTCAAAGTCATCCTCAGCCACATAGTTGAGTGACAGCCTGGGACACATCGATTGTCCCGAGAGACCACAGTTTTAAAGGATACAAAATGACAGATTTCAAAATCATGACCTGAAGCAAGCAACCTGGTAGGGAACGGAGACACCCATCCTCCAAGGCACTTGCTGTCCTTGATTGTCCTTGACAATGGTCAAGGACGAAACCACTGAGGTGTTTATGTCTCCATCAAAACTACTTCAATAACCTAAAAAAAAGACTGTCACTGAGGGGAGAGTCTCTTCAGAACCAACATGAGTCTAAGTCAGCAGTTTAAGAAATGTGGGAATTGTGGCTGTTACCAGTATAAGCTACACCCTAAGGAGTGTAAGTGGGGTGTGTGTGTGTGTGTGTGTGTGTGTGTGTGTGTGTGTGTGTGAACTGACAGCCACACTGCTTTCTGGGTGTGTTCCCATCACAGTGTAGACTCAGGCAAACAGCACTATAGTATGTGGTTTACCCCTGTTTTGCTGATCAGGGTCTCAGCTATTTTGCTACAAAGGGAAAGGACCTTTGTGTGAGGGTAAGCATTACAGCCCAGGGCCTAAAGAGACTAGGGTCATTGAGACAGGTTACTAAGTCTTCTGCATCTAAGAAAGTCATCTCTTCTGTTTCCTGATTTTTTTTTTCAGTTCAGTTTGGAAGCAGCAAAATTGACAAAGAGCTGATAAACCGAATAGAACGGGCCACCGGCCAAAGACCACACCGCTTCCTGCGCCGGGGCGTCTTCTTCTCCCACCGGTCAGGACCCTTCCTCTGCTCTGGGTTCATAGAACGGGGGGTGCTGGGGAGGCCTGGTACCCTGGGCAAAGTGAGGCTCACTGTGGAATCACCTCATCCCTTCACCTGCAACTCCTCAGCTTTCTTGGTGAGCTTCACTGGTGGAGGTCATTCTTGGCAGGTGAAGTGCAGTCAGAGTCCATGCTGTAACTTATAAAGGTCGTGAGAGCCGGGGGGTGTTGAGTCCAGCTTGAGTACTTCCCACACACGATAAGCAGTAGGCTTCCTGAAGTGACCCACACTCTTTCTCCCCCTCATGAGTGACATCAAGAGACATTTACAGCAGAGCCCTTGGGACAGAGTATCCCTGCCCCGACCATAAATTCTGTGCAGATAACATCAAGAAGGGCAAGTTCTAGAAGACTCCTTGCCTCTTCCTCCCACAGACTGCTTCTCCTCAGCTCAGTTCATGGAACTAACGACCTGAAGTCGGGGTGTTCTGTTCTATTTGTGCTTCAAGGAGCACTCAGGAAAGAGCATTCCCACCCAGACACTTCGCAGCCTGTCTGCAGAGGGCTCTGAGCCCTGCTCAGCCCACACTAGACAAAATAGAATCAATATTTCTCTTAATTGAAATTGAATGTTGGGCCAGTGAGATGGGTCAGCAGGTAAAGAAAGGTGCCTACTGACAAGCCAGACAACCTGAGCTGTTCCTAAGTAGAACCCATATAGGGAAGGAGAGAAGAACAGACTCCCTCAGAATATCCTTTGATAGTCATATACACTCCATGGTGTGACTACACATACAGAGAAACACAAACAAATCAATGAATGTAATTTAAAAAGTTGTGGCCAGGTGTGGTAACACATACCCTTAATCCTAGCACTCAGGAGGCAGAGGCAGGGATTCACTGTGAATTTGAGGCCAGCCTGGTCTACATTGAGTTTCAGGATAGCCAGAGTGTGTGCGTGCGGGGGTGGGGAGATTGAGAGCTTGCTAGGAGGACAGCAAGGAAAGGCATCTGCTTCTGCTTCTGAACCTAACAACCTGAGTGCAGTCCCCAGGTCCCACACAGTGTGAGGAAAGAACCAATTCCCAAATGTTCTCTGACCTCCACACATGCAAGAGCACACACTCATACACAAAACAAATTACTTAATTAAATGTGATAAAAACTTTTTGTAGCCGGGCGGTGGTGGCGCACGTCTTTAATCCCAGCACTTGGGAGGCAGAGGCAGGTGGATTTCTGAGTTCGAGGCCAGCCTGGTCTACAGAGTGAGTTCCAGGACAGCCAGGATTATACAGAAAAACCCTGTCTCGAAAAACCAAACCAAACCAAAAAAAAAAAAAAAAATTTGTAAAGAAATTGAATTGATATATCATAGAATTTGACTTTTTAAACTGTACTCTTCAGTGGTTCCGTGTTTGCAAGTGTCTAATAACAGAGGTGATTATCCCCAGCAGAGAGTCCTCCCTGTCCACAGTCACTCCGTTTCTCCCTCCCCAGACTGAGTGTTGGCCACACCTGCAGTCCCCCCACACTGAGGAGGTAGAAGCAGGAGGAGCAGAAGTTCAGGGTCATCCAGGACCACATAGACAAGTCAGGGCCAGCCTGGGAAACTGAAGACCCTGTCTCCAAAATAGAAAGAGAGCAAATCCAGCAAATTCTGACATAAAATATATATCCCAATTCCATTCTTTTTCAAGATTATTTTAGCTCCTTGCACTTCCATGTGAATTTTAAAATCAGCCTTTTCTTTTCTACAAGAAGTGCCTCTGGGATTTTAACAGAGGTTTGTCAATGCAAAACATAGCTCTCACCCTTCAAAGAATAAGATAATTTATTCTGGAGCCAAATATGAGTGACCATAGCCCAGGGATATATTTATTCCAGAAATACCATAGTGTTCCAGTGTGATAACAACTTCAGAACAAAAGAAAGCCATGACTGGGGTGCAGGAGGGACACCCAGGCCTTAGGCCTCAGGTGCTGTCTGATGGCACTCCTGGCTTTGGGGCTGGTAGCAGCTCTGACGGTCGCTTAGAACATTCCAAAAGCATTACCTGATAGTCACAGAGTTGTCCAGTCACACACTAAGGTAGGCAGTGACTGGCTACTCAAGAAGCTAACATGGCCATAGTGTTCTAATCCACCTGCATGCCCCACCATGCCTGGCCAACCTGCAGAGTCTTGAGCACAGGCAGAGCTTTCTCCTGGGTTTAGTGTACCTGGTATTCCAGATCTGTTAGCTAGTTTGGTGAATATTGGGATCTTAAAATACTGTTGGGTTTTTGGGTTTGGGTTTGTGTATTGAGACGTGGTCTGACTGTAGCCCTAGCTGGCCTAGAACTGTTGCTGTTGTTTGTGCCGAGGCAGTTTCTGGGCTGGCCTGGAACTCCCAGTCCTGCTAGGAGTACAGCACACCCAGCTTCCCAGACTTGCCTTGTGGAGTTTTCTGATTGATAACTTACTCTTTTTGATTGTGAAAACACCATGCAGATGTTCTGCTGTTCTCCTAGTTCATTATTGTATGCATGTGTGTGTGATGTGTTTGTTTAGCCACTGCATGTAGCTACCATAGGACAGCATGTGTGCATGTGTGTATGATGTGTTTGTTTAGCCACTGCATGTAGCCACCATAGGACAGCTTGTAGGACTTGATTCTCTCCCAAGAACCCAACTCAGGTCCTCAGGCTTAAAGCAAACCTTTTTGCCCTGAGCCATCCCATGGCATTGTTGATCTTACAGCCTCTAACATCTTAGAGCACTGGCTGCCCTGCCCCCATGTTCTTATGTAATAGCTCAGGAAGGCATTACACATTCTGGAGTTGAGAGACAGAAACCATTACCTAGCGTTACCTATGAGACTGGGGGTGAAATGGCATCTACAAGCTCATCTCTAACAAGGCCCTTTTGGAAAGGGATGCATAAGATGGCCTTGGCCGAGGGCCTGGCCTAGTGAACGGATGATATGCCCTCTGGCCACATGAAAAGCAACTCAGGGCATGGCTTTTCTCTGTTCCATGTGCCCATTCAAAATAACTGGGTGGAGCTGGGTGTGGTAGCTTCAGCCCAGGAATCAAGAGGCCCCAAAGGCAGGCAGATGGGACCACCCTGGTCTATATAACAAGTTTCAGGACAGCCAGGGCTACATAGTGAGACCCAGTCTCAGAAATAAAATAAAATAAAATAAAATAAAATAAAATAAAATAAAATAAAATAAAATTGGGTGAGTTTGGACAGTTCCAGCCCTGTGCTGGACATGTGTTAGCACCTGGAGAGGAGGCAGGAGTGGGATTCCCAGGCTACTCTAAGCTACACAACAAGAACCTGACTCAGAAAACCAGGAAACAAGAAAGGGATGCATGCCTCTAATCCTGGCACTTAGGAGGTAGAACACAGGCAAATTAGGGGTTCAAGGATATCTTTCACTACACAGTGAGTTCAAGGCCGAGCTGAGCTAAATGAGACCCTTCCTATTAAAACACACTCACTCACTCAACACTCACACTCAATGTGCAAAGCATACAGTATATACAAGCCAGAAACCAGCCTTTTGCCCTAGATCATGAAAGAGGATACCACCAGAATGGTTTTTGTCTGTTCATTTCTTTTTTTTTTTTTTATTTTTTTTTTATTTTCGAGACAGGGTCTCTCTGTAGTCCTGGCTGTCCTGGAACTCATTTTGTAGACCAGGCTGGCCTCGAACTCAGAAATCCGCCTCCCTCTGCCTCCCAAGTGCTGGGATTAAAGACGTGCACCACCACCACCTGGCTGTTCATTTCTTTTTTGAGGCCGGTTATCATAGCTCAGGCTGACCTATCTCATTATGTAGCTGAAGCTCTCCCTGAACTGCTGACCCTTCTGCCTGTAACCTAGAGTACCACTTCTGGCTACACAACACTGTTATTTAGACTACTTTATCCAGGCCTCTGGGAAAAGGGGATTTATTATTCTTTGTCTGCAGCACCTCTGCTCACAGACAGCATGCTCACTCCCAGCCTGTGGTTGGTTTCAGACACAGAAACATACATACACTTAAGTAAAAACAAAGTTTAAAAAAGAAAGAAGGCTGGGCATAGTGGTGCATGCCTTTAATCCCAGCAGTCAGGAGGCAGGGGCAGGGGGATCTCTGAGTTTGAGGCCAGCCTGGTCTACAGAGTGAGTTCCAGGACAGCAAGAGCTTCACTGTGAGTCCCTGTCAAAAAAAGAAAAACAGAAAGAGAACACAAATTCCAGGGCAGGGAGATGGCTTAGTGCACTCTGTGAGAGCACGAGGAGCATGAGGACCTGAGCTCGGCCTCTGGAACCCTGTAACAAACCAGGTGTGATAATATGTGCTAGGGAGACCCAGAAAGGCAGATCCCCAGCTCACGGTCAGCCAGCCTGAAGAGACCCTGTCCCAAAGTAGCTCCTAAGAAACAACACCTGAAGTTATCCTACGCACACACACAC